ACCGTGTCCTACGGTGTTGTCGCTTGCAGATTTACTTATACTTTTTCTTCAACCCTGAAGATGGGGGCGATACGTTCCTCCGAAACGTCGGTTAACACCACATATACACGGTGCCAAATCCCAGAAGACTGCTTTCTTCATAGTCACCGCCGTGAAAGCCTCAAATCTTACATAATGAGAAAATAAATTATCTCCAGGTGAATTTGTGTTACAACAGGACAGACACTGAAAGCATTATGAAATAAACCACAAGAGAACCTAATATTCAATCTAAAATCTCAGTTTGCTTGTTTACAACCCATATGTTTCATCTGTACACAAGTCATTTGTGCTGAGACATGTCATGAAGTCATTATCAATGGGAAGACGAAAACAGGCCTGTAAATCTCAATACAACAGAAACTGAATGTCACAAATTGTGAGTATAATACAGGATTCAGTTTATGATTGCTTTTTGTTTTACATCAGCTATAACTATTTGCATATCCCCATTATCACCTGCTTGTTCCCAACACAAGAAGATATTAACTCTTCATTTCATCCAGTATGGTAGATGCAGCTTTCTCAATATTCCAACTTGATTTCTGAAGTGCAACTTCACACTGATGTCTTGAAGCTATTCCCAGCCTGAAATATGAATTTTAACACTCTCAAAGTTAAGGCTTTTCTCCTGATAAGTGAACACTACTGTGCAATTCATAAATAGGCACACAAGTTACAGAACAAATGATTCCTCAACAGCATGGAAAGATTCCTGAAAGTATCAAGTCCCTCAAAATTATTTCTGAAAGGGAGAGTTCATACAGTAAAAGTGGCACATGTCATTCATATAACATCATTTAATATGTGGGACTTTTTTAAGTTCTCACAGCAGTTGCTATGAAGGCTACTCTTTTCTGGGATATGATGCCTACTCTGGCAAATCGTTGCCAGCATTTCAAAACATCATCAGCAATGATCTTAAGACTATACAGCATCACATCCCAGAAGAAAGCCGCCTTCTTTTAATACACTACAGCAACTTGTGTGGAACTCGAGATAACAATAACGTATACATAACTGCAAACAATTCCCCAAATATAACTCACTTTTAAACCACCCCCAAAAACATATTCTCTGCCTTCCCTGCTCTTTTTTCTGATTTCCTGTATTTAAAAATTACACAGGTCTGCAAAAATAATTTTTTTGCAGCTGCATGGAATAATTTTGGTAAACTTTATCTTTTCTAGGATGCTGAATCCAAAAATGACCTCAATTTCCCCCTATCACGTATGGTTTTTTGGAAAATAATAGGGGTTTACAATAAAGAATCATAACAGCAATGAAAAAAATTGAACTAAACATATTATTTCTCATACTTAAACAAACAATTCCTTCATGATATATTTAATATTCTGTGTTCAGCCTTTTTGCCTGTGAAACCTTTTCTTCTTATCTTTGATGCTCCTCCGAACATGCTTTCGCTTTCCATTTTCCGTTTCCCGCTTGATCATCCAGCAGTAGTCAGCTAGCATAATCACATTCCATCTTCCTTGGTAGCGTCTTTCGATATCACGGACATCCTGGTGAAATCGTTCTCCCTGCTCTTCACTGTAGGCTCCCAAGTTTTCGGGAAAATAGTCGACATGGGAGTGTAAGAAATGAACTTATAAGCTCATCTTGCAGCCTGGAGCTTTATATGCAGCCAACATGCGTTGTACATTGGTTTTGTAGAGAGGGTCTTTAGTGTTCCCCAAAAACTTGTGCACTATGTCTTTGAAGGAGTCCCATGCTTCTTTTTCTTTTTCTCCCATTGTTTCTGAAAAGAGGGGATCGGTTAACAGTTTTCGTATGTCGGGACCAGTAAAAACTCCCTCTTTCAACTTGGCTTCAGACAGTTTTGGGAACTTGGAACACAAATATGTGAAACATTCTCCATCTTTTGGCAGTGGTTTTACAAACTGCTTCATGATCCCTAATTTAATATGAAGAGGTGGTAATAAAACCTTTTCAGGTGGAACCAAGGTCGTATTAATTACGTTTTTTTCACCGGGGATTAAGGCATCTCGAAGTGGCCAGTCAGTTTTTGTCCAATGGAGGTCTCTGACTTGACTGTCCCACAGGCATAAGAAGCAGAGATGTTTTGTATAACCTGCCTGCTGGCCCAGCAACATGGTTAATATTTTGAAGTCTCCACAAACCATCCATTGATGTTCTTGATAGTTGACTTTCTCAAGAATCACAGCCAAATCGTTATAGTTTTCTTCCAAATGCACCGAGTGTCCCATAGGAATTGATGCAAATGTATTTCCATTATGCAGCAAGACTACTTTGAGGCTTGTTTTAGATGAATCAATGAAAATGCATCATTCAGATGGATCATATTCTATTTCAAAGCATGTCATGAGCCCTTGAACATCATTACAAAAAACAAGATTTCCCTCTTTGGAGAAAAACTGGGTGAATTCCTTCTCTCGGTGCCTGTACCACGAGAATGATGTTCCAGGTGACAGCAAGTTTTTATTTTTCGGTCTTGACCCTAGGAATTCGGCTGCATCTTTGGAAAGGCATAAATCTCTAACTAAGTCATTGAGCTCACTCTGAGAAAAAGGTTTGGGTCCCTCATGAACAGAGAAATCTGAACTGGATTCATCCTGGGGTGGTAATATAGTTCTGTCCTCTGAATCACTCTGTATATCATCCAAACTGGAAGGTGGGAGGGGAACTGGTATTTCAGAGCTATGAGGCACTGAACGAATAGCTGAATTAAGGTTTGGGTAAGATATTTTCTTTTTATTTTTTGTATTAAAGCCTTTCACATCTACCGAAAAGAAATAACAATCAGTCGTGTGGTTTTGCTGTTCACCCCACATCACAGGAATGCCAAAACGAAATGAGTTCTTCTTACCCTTAAACCACAAATGAAGATCTTCCTCACACCTTCTGCACACCTTGTGAGGAGCCCAAGGTTTGTCTTGATCCCCAAGTTTCAATTTGAAATAAGCAAAATACACTTTGTTCACAAAATCATTTATGTTTCTTTTTTGACTTTTAACTATGTATTCACCATAAATAAAACAAAAGTTGTCCGGAGAAATAACACAACCTCTTTGAGCCATAATACAGAGCTAAAACACAAGCACAGTCACGTTTGAATGCAGGATGTAAACTGAGTGGCTTATACATCAACCAAGATCCTGAGCTTATTTAGCATGTTGAGACATGATCAAATCTGACAGCAGGATTGTTTATACTCATTCCTACTGCCCCAAAGAACATGTCCAAACGTGCTCAACCGAGCTAGTAAGATTCCTCACCTTTCGCTACGAACGAAGTAAATGTGTTGGGACATGATCGCCTGAGCTCCTCACACTGCCAAACCCACCCTACCAATCCCTTCCACTGCCCCCCCCATCCCACCCATTTTCTATTTGTATTATATTTTAGATTCACTCTTATAAATATTATTTTAAAGTAAGAAATAATTATTGGATATGGTTTTTAGAATCAACAGTAGGATACCAGATTTCACGTTGAAGAGAAATTTCACGCAAAATTAAACTAAAAATATNAATGGATTTTTTTTTTTTTTTGCTATTTTTTTCAGTTTTAGTGAGTAAAACTCTATAAGAAACAGTAAAAATATCCTATGCAGTTTTTGGTTGCAGACCTGTGTTATTCTTGCAGCATACTTGTATATGAAATTTGTACAACATGATGCACAAGTGGCATAATCTTTGTTGAAGTTCATCTAAATGATGTGTAGGCCAGATTACAACATTACTTGTACAAGTGACATACACAAGTTTCATTCTGTATCATTGCTAGTGGGGTGGGACTAAGTCCCTTGTACTGCGGTCACTTCTGACCTACTGTACCAGCCCCAGGTGATAGGTGAGGGTGATTGTGGAGCAATTGGTGGAATGAAAATTGGCAGGGGAAACCGAAGTACTCGGAGAAAACATGCCCCAGCACCACTTTGTCCACCACAAATCCCACTTGACCAGACCTGGGATCAAACCCGGGCCGCCACGGTGGAAAGCCAGCAACTAACCACTTGAGATATAGCACAGCCCATTCTGATCATACTCTTCACTTAGCTGATTCATTTCACACAAAAATATTTTCCACTGTGACTTTTAAAAATTGGCATTTTACATCATATTACTTATTCTGAAAGTATTGAACAACACTGAAGTTCAAAATTGACAGGATTTTTGGACTTTGTCCATCATCCGGTATTCCAAAAAAATAGACAACACAATGTCTTGGAAACCGGATCTCTTTCCATACTCGGGTGAGGGGTACAAGACACCCACTGTGCTGCATCCCTTAGAAATAGCTAACCTCGGACACTGAAATTATCTGCCAATCCACACAACAGTTACCAGATTCTTCCGATACAAGACCACAGACACCAAGATTTGAACAAACAATGGGTTGCTGTACAAAAATCAGTAACAACCATTTCAGTCCCTGGAGTTAATGCAACAAAGAAAAGAGAAAGTGTGGCCTCTCGCCTTCATAAGATACCAGATTTTTGAGCTGGTTTTTTCATCCTAATTATTTAAGTTGCTCTGAACCTGCTAATCTAATGTATTCAAGTCTAGAGAATTTGGTGGCCACTCTATGAATTTGACAGAGTCAACTGTGATGTCATCAAGCACTTCAGAGCAGGTAATGTGATGGGAAAACTACAATCTTTAATATTCAAAGTTGAAAATATCTTTTTGTGCAATGAATTGATCTCATTTCACTAATCTTTTTGTACATATACTTAGGTATGTTCTACATATCTTATACAAATTTAATTCAACCCTACAGTCATTCATTTCTACATTTTTTCCCCATGAACCTTTTTAGCATAGTGTTATCTCCATGGTCCATATCCTTTGTGAGTGCAAACATAAATCAACTGGTTGTACGCATGATTTCTGAACAATGTGATAAGGATTATTTTGGAATGTTTCTTTCAGATTTGTAGAGCACCTCATTTTTCCCATTTTTAAAAATATCACTTTATTTGCACTGCCCACTATATCCCACTCTTAAACAATGCAATTATTTTCCATGTCTGACACACAGTATTTGCACACAAGGCTGATGACCTCGCTCTGTAAAAAAAAATACTGTCACATTTTCTACATTGCCTTTAAGCAATACTTAAAGTAAAGTAAGTAAAAGTATCCCTGTAACAGGCTGTGGAGGCCCATAGGGTTGTGAGATGTTGAGGTTCCCACAGTTCCTAGACAATCGGCTCATAGATGGCAGTAAGGTTGTCAGCCTTACACCCAAGAATATTCCTGGTACTCATTTCTGTCAGAGGTTGAGTAGACCCCAGGGCCATAGTGCAGCTGGAATGGGGTGGAAATAAAAAGAAGAGAAAAGACATAAGGCATTAAAGGTATGAAAAGGATAAATGAAAGGAAGAAAGGGGTGAGGGATGAAGATGATATAAAAGAAATAATTTTCTTGAGACTAAACTTATGCATGTGCTAAAATTTCACTACATGACAGGGGTGGTTCCATAACAAATGAAGACACAAGCACTCCATTCTTTCTCTCTGATCACAATGATGCTGAGTGAGATGATGGTAAAACAGTGTGCTGACAGATCGCTATACACGCTAGCTGCACACATCATAACACTGATTCTGCCAGTATGTGGATCTGCCATTAAGCCTCTGTGCCTTCCTTTTTGTAGAAATACTCTTTCAGAAGAGCTTCTTGAAACCTGCTATTTGTGTTCTTTCAATATTGGATATTTACAATTATGCGGTTCAATCATGGGAATGGACCTGAGACCCTGGTTACAATAGAAAGCACTCCATTTTCCTAACTTCCTTCAGTCTTGTTTAACTGGCAGCTGTCAGGAAACCATATAGGATATAATAAATAATGGGACTTCTGTCCCATAATCTTTCCTCACTAGGAAAACCACACATTATGAATGAATACAGCAATCTCTTTGGTACTTACAAGCCTTATCACTGAAGTCCCATGGCACTATATAATAATGATGTGTGATGTCATGTTCCTTAATCTTTATAACACAAATTTAATAACTTAGTGCTCTTTCTCTGCAGTGATTGGCTACCGTTTATATAGTTTATAATGTTCACTAAAGATGTGAAATAAAGACCACGTAAAATCACCACAACATGGCTATTTCATGACAGCCTCTAGATGTGAAGGGTGGCTGTGATTATACTGAATAAGTAGTCATGGACAGCTGACAAGGGACTGTCCTCTAGCTTGGGGTTTAGACAGGAGACTAACAACATTAAGATTAAGAAACATAAAGCTGTTCCACAAGTGACTGACCTGAGCAGTTGATTGAGCTTAACCTGCCTCACAGCTGCTTGTACATCCCAGCCTGTGGCTTGAAGGGCTGCCAAGCCCTCCTCCTCAGCTGCAGAATCACCAATCTCCTGCAGCAACCTTTGTACTTTGGTTTTCCACAATTCTCCACTAAGTGACACTGCCTACCAACCATCCAACCAAGTCCCAAAGCAGACAGTAGATCATAGCAGAGAAAAATAAAAGAGTAAGTTGCACAGATGTAGCAAGTGGAAATTTGCCTGAAGCCATATAAAGATAAAAGACTAAGGGACACTCAACCATGTTAACTTCTGGGGACAGCATGAAAAAAAAAACAGAAATATGTCAAGCATCTTGGAAGCTCTCAAAGAGATATTCTGTTATCTGCAAGTACAATATATTAGCACATTTTCTTCTACCACCCACACATAGAAAACAAAAATACAACAGATGTGTAAGATTCAAGGTTCTCACAGTGGTAAAGATTAATGCTGTGGCCTTCTGCATTATGACTCTGTGCAGTCTGATAGATGGGTACCAATGTACCAGACAACACATACTAGCTCCATCTTCATGGTAGAAGCAAAGATGGAGATAGTACCCACATACCGCACTACATGGTGTCATAACCTGGAAACCACAGTATAAGTACAAACAAATTTTATCACAGACTATAAAATGAGAAATTACAGAACACATTTCAATCATAACTTATTCTGAGATATGAGGCTCTTATGGCATACAACAATTCCTGTCTTCAGCGATATGATGTTGTGTAGGATGGTAGAAAGATACTGTGGCATATTTGCTCAAATCAAGAACTGCGAACCCAGCAGAAACAGTCACTGCTAGGGAACAGCTCTGCAAACATGCCCATTGCTAGGCTAGAGATTTGTAATATGCAACAATGAAGTAACTGGGAAAAGGGTTCTATACGTAGTCTGTATGACAGCTATGTGATACAACAACAAAAGAACTGCTGGAAGTAGTGTTTTTTATGCAGTCCATACCAAGGCTATATAACGAGGAGCAGCTGTGATTATGAAAGTCTTGAGATGGCAGTTAGAAGAGTAGGAGTTAGCTGGGAGAGTCACTGGCCAGTAAGGACGTGAACATGAAAGGTGAGGAAGCTACAGCAATAGAAGTCATTACCAGATGACAACCGGTGAAGACACAGCAGGCTGAGAAGATTTAAGCCTGTGCTGTAGTGAATTGCAATGTGTGTGAATTACCAGTAGTGCTATAGTTACTGGTAATTATGATCTGTATGGGTTCAATAAATCCAATTACCAATCAAAACCCTGTCTACAATCACTCATACACTTCACAATATGAAGGTTTCATAGCAGCCTTCTACTCTGAAGATGGAAGAAGTAGATTCCTCCAAAACTTGGTAACTCACCACCAGGCTATATGAAAGCACAACCCAGAAGACAGTAATCTTTATAATTTTTACATTTTGTTTAAAAGTAGCTGACATGATATGAATCTGATTTACTATGAACCACAAACCTGTCACATCATTAGCAGAATCTGACAGTACTTCTCAGATGCTCTTTTAATAATTACAGTTAATGCTAGAAGCATGCTATGCACTAATGACAGATACTGGAACAGATTAATATTTTCAATTATTTAGGATATATCATACAAAGCAGAAATGGATATGAATGTAAAAATTGTAAATTGTGTTAAATACCACGAACTGTCAACCAGGCCTTCAAACTGATGCCAATGAACAGAAGGCAGAATGTTTCATGACAGCTGTGAGATACAGCCCTTCATACCTTCAAAGAAACCAAAGAAATATGTAGAACTACAAATTCCACAAACAACAGACTTTACGGAATAATACAGAAGAATGCAGGATTTGTGGTTCTCACAGCAGTGGTTGTAACAGTTCTATCTTCTGCAATAAAACACCACGTGGGCCATTGAGAGTCAAATTACAGTTCAGAGGAACATGTCACCTCCAAAACACCAGTTGACTTTCAATGGACTACATGGCATTGTATCTCAGAAGATAGAACTCTTCAATATAGAAGAAATTCAGAAAAATATGTTACACCAACTCTGACAGAATTCCAAAATGTATCTTAAAATATTGTCGCGTATCGGGCGTATATCGCGACAAATAACTTCTCGACGTATTTGATGTAGCGAATTTTATTTCACATTCGCACTTACAATCACCCAAATTACAGATTTACGGTTACTGCTATCTGCAGTATCACAAATAGTACACTCCAAATGCCAGAATACAACTGACTAGTTGCTGGCTAACTCGGCGGTAGCTCCAGGACTAACTGACTGACGCAGTACAACTGACTCGGCGACTGTTACTTTATAACTCGGCGGCTGTCAGCGTACAACTGACTGTGAATAGCCTTCGCTGCGCCTCATGTAGCCTCGATCGGACCATACGGAAAACGGCCACGTAATAGGCACCCTTGTTGCCTGGCGCTGTGTTGCTATGTAAAGCTAGCGGAAGCAGCCGCTGTTACTACTTGGTGACGTCACCGCTGTTGACTTGCGTTGCCTAGCGACACGCAGTACATCTTCGTGACGTCACCGCGGAGGGGAGTGGCGGGGCGGGAACTCGCCTATTACCGTAGTAACGCGAGCGTTACGTTCACGCCACGTGCCGCTGGGGGGGGTAGGGGTCAACATGTCACTATATCAACCAAAATGAGAAAGAAATTTGGAATAAATGATGGGAGAATTCTATTTTCATAATACCTGTAAAGGCCCTTGAAAGGCCTAATACTAAAAATGTTTATTATGATGACAAGAAGGAAGGGTAAATGATGAATGGGACAAGGCTGGATCTCTTGTGACTATAACCTAAAACGGATAATGCAAGTCACTATTTGAATTATGAATGGAGGAGAAGTATTACTTGCAGAAAACGTGCCTCAGTGATTTCTGTCCTTAAATTTTTGCAGCTGGAATTTAGTGTAAGGGTTCAGTTTTCATCAATATGTTGCAAGAATATGAAGGTTTTCTAGATATTTGAATAATGTTACAGTTGTCATCTTCAGGGGTAAGTGTCTTTAGGGGGTTTCAGAAGCCCTTATATATGTCTCACAGCCAAATGATGAGTCAGAAAACAAAAGTTGCAGCATACTTTCCAATATAAAGTGACCATGTGGTCAAAGAAAGGTGATAAAAATGTTTTAACAACCAGGTGGTCCTGTAAAGAGGGGACAAAAATGTTTCAGCAACCCTGTATTTTGGACAAAAGGTGATGGAAGAGATGTGGCCACCACATGGTAAGGAGAAAAAGTCATTAAAATGTTCTGGCTATCACAAGATTAGGAAAAAAAGAGTGGGAAGAAACCTTGATAAGAAATAAGCTCATGAAAAGGTTCATAGCAATATAAATTATTTCAGCATCTCCTAACCCCCAAAATTTTATCACTTTCTTCTCCTATCCGCAACATTGGTCTCTTCTCCCTTAGAGATTCAGTGATTTGCAGGAATTTCTCTGATGACTGCACTGTATTTATTTTTCTATGTTGTGACATAAGAGCTGAAAGCTGGAATAGTAGAGCAAGAAAAGATGGCTGCTGCTAGGCAACAGCCAGTAAACACACTCCTGCATCAACAAACATGCAAACCATAAATACGAAACAGCCTGCTTACATGTCACGCAACAATAGATGAGCTGTTGGAGGTGGTAATTTTTATGCACTCTGTTCTGAGGCTATATAACGAGAACCAATGGGACAAAGTACCGTATTTACACATGGATAGGCCGCGTGCATGTATAGGCCGCAGCACAATTTTCAGACAGAAATTATAGAAAAAATAATTTTCTTGGAATATTATTTCAGGAGTAGAAATTATTCCGAAATTTGGCAATGTTTAACATTCCTAAGTTCGCATCTAGCGAAAATAACGGTACCGCTCGGAACAAAGGCATTGCGGGGGAGAGTTATAACCTTTTCGCCTTTACTTGACTTGCCTGGTTAGTTCTGAGTGAAACATGGGTCGAGTAAGAGCAGGTTATACGTCTAAATTTAAACTTCAAGTGGTGCGTTACGCACAAGAACACGGAAATCGAGCAGCAGGGAGAAAATTCGACGTTGACGAAAAAAATGTGCGAAGATGGATACTAACAAAAGATGCCCTTGAAAAAACGTCACAAAATCGACAATCTTTCCGCAGAAAGAAAGCTAAATTTCCAGAACTTGAAAATAAACTTTTGCGATACGTGCGTAATACACGGGCGGATGAATTTTCAGTGTCTGTGGAAATGATTCAATTTGAAGGCCTCAAAATAGCGGACAGAATGAAAATTCCTCGTAATGAAATTAAGGGAAGTTATGGACGGGCAAGGCACTTTATGGCCCGACATGATCTTGTAATTCAGCGATGGACATCAATAGCGCAGCGCCTTCCCAACACATACCAGGAGAAACAGCTTGCATTTCAAAAACATGTCCTGAAATTAAGAAAGACGCACAACTACACCATGGGAGCTATTGGAAATGTTGATGAAACTCCTGTGTTCTTTGAAATGCCGGGTGAAAGTACAGTGCATGTGCGGACTGCAGGAGCA